AGCATACGGCTCGGGCCGTCTGGGCTACATAGCCCCACCCTTTGGCCTTCTGTGTCCCCAATGGAACGCCACCCAGAAGAGTCCATTCCTTTGTCCAGGCGAAGGCGGGGACCGGAGATGCGATCCCAATGTGGATTGTTGCCACCATTTCCAAATTCGGGCTGATGCCGGGCAATCCCACCACAGGTGGATGGTTGATTCGAACACCCAGCTGCAATGAGAGCAGGTAAGATTCAGAGTCATACCGCGTTCAGCTAACCACACAGCTGAGGGAGTGGTTACAAGCGATACCAACCACAGCAACGAGGCATGCCTTTGATTAGCTATCAACTTCAGTTGAGACCAGCATCCATTCAAGGCTCTATCTATCTCATGAGCGGGAACATCCAATAACGGCAGCCACATCTGGCTCTCGCTGTGACTTGTGGAGTTTTCAACAGACTAAGTACAACATATCCAATCTTTATCGAGTAATCAGCTATTGAAGCGTTTGTTCCTTTTTTGCCAACAACCGACCACTCACACAGAACAGGGTCCAATCTTAGTTTAAGGACGGGAGTTCCACTTGCCTGTAAACGAAAATTGAAAACATCATTTGAGGATTCTGATGCCAGTACTCTTACCTGTTGCAAATGGGTTTGCGTAGTACAGGTTGGCTGTTGTCTTCTCCCAGCTGCAACGATTCTTCGTGTACCTTCCAACATTCAAACTCCCTCTTCCCATCAGGGGCTATTGAGGAGAGTTTTCATACCACATCTGGGTTGGATTGATCTCCCGAGAACCATGTCCCTGGAGGATCAACCCCTTCTGGTGACAGCAACTCTTTCCACTTTTGTGGAATTGCATCAATCAGGGCCTCCCTCTGTTCTTCCACCTGCCGCAGCTGTCTTAACTGATTCCGCAGTACCCCCTCCGTTTTCTAATTTCCTAGAATAGGGTCCCATAAGTCTTGGATTCTCAGCACCCCCCGTTCGATCCAGGAGCGACCAAAACTAGAAGGGGCTGAGTCTGCTTTGAACCAATTAGCTGAACTGTCCCTGATATGCACATTTTACAAAGAGGGGCTGGACCAGTACCTCTGCTTTCGAGGAGGGTTCCTTCCAGATGGTTGGATGAATCCTTTTCTCGGCACTAATTATTGGTGCCCAGAAGGGAGACTTTATGCGTCTTCGTTGGTACGAGTAAAGTAGCAGGCAAGTCCATACATCCGTTGGACGAGGCAAATTCCATTCTCGTGACAAATTCTGTTTAGCTAAGTGCACCCAGTGGGGTGGTGGGTAGGTCTGGCTGACCCGGGTTATCCATTGACATAGCATTGCAGAATTCCGGCGCTGGGGGTCAAGAATGCCCAGACCCCCTTCACTGCGAGGGGCACACAACATATCCCAACCTACCTTCGAAATGAAGGAGTCTCCTTCCTCCGCGAAAGGCTTCCAAATAAATTTTGCAGCCTTTCGTTTTGTGATTACACACAGCTGTGAGCCTAATCCTCGAACTCTGCCAACAAACCATAGCAATGCAAACAGGGCTCCGTTGATCACCATGGCTCTGCCGTAGATAGACAGGTGGGTTGCCTTACCCCAAGAGGTTAATCTTGCTGTAATTTTCTGCAAGAGCAATGGTATCCTGAGCTTCCATACAATTGGAGAGGGCTATCTGTACACCGAGAAAGCGTTCACACGCACCCTCCCCAACCCTTTTCATACCCCATTCAACTGCAAAAGAGAAGCGAGATGGCAGGATATAGATCGATTTATGCCAATTTATAGCTGCTTCGGAAAGTGATGCGTACTCATCAAGACAATCCTTGAACGCGCTCAGCGCTGAGTGTGAGTTTTGAACGACTGCAAACAGATCATCGGCCAGGGTTTTGACCTTGTATTGGGTTGGCCCGACTTGAGGCCCAATAATCTGAGTGTGGGCTCTGATGTTGTTGAGTGCACCTTCCATTTGGAGGGCAAACAGCAATGGAGCCAGGGGGCATCCCTGACGAAGGCACCTAGACAAAGGAAATTCGTACGAAAGCCGACCATTGATCAGCACAGCCGCAGCGGAGAGGGTGTGTACAAGGCAGTTACCCAAGCAACAAAATTCTTACCAAAGTCCATCCAATCCAGTGTGGAGAGAACATACGACCAGTTTACCCGGTCATATGCTTTCTCCAAGTCCAACAACAGGACTGCCATATCCATCTGATGATCTTGAATGATCTCCAATGTCTCAATGGCCGTGACAATGTTGTCAAAGATGGACCACCCTTTGATAAAGGCAGCTTGGTCTGATTGGACCAAATCAGGTAAGTAACGGCCCAGGCGTCTAGCTAGAACTTTGGCAACAATTTTATAAGAAATGTTCAGAACGGAGATAGATCTCCAGTTCCGGATTTCGGATTTGTCACCTTTTTTGAACAACACAGAAATTATTCCTCTCGACATGTTGGCTGCTAATTTTCCTCCTAGTATAGATTTCGACAAGACTATCTCCCACCACATCCCATATAACCAGAAATAATTTTGTTGGTAAACCATCATCGCCTGGGGCTTTCCCACAGGCCATCACTTTCAGCTCTTCATGGGCTTCAATAGGCGTTATAGGCTGGTCAAGGTCTAACTTACCACTCTGCGATAGCTTAACGGTGGTATTGTTCCAATGGCTTGTGGTCTTATGAAGGTTCGATCTCACTACCGCCCCTTGAAGGCGGGAAGTCAGGATGTCTCTGTAATGAGCTGCGTAGCCACATAAGTGTGTGAGGTCTTTGGCCACCGGGGCCAATTGGTCAAATGGATGTTTGAGCTCTTTCATGGATATCATTGATTGGCGAGGGAGAAGCTTGTGGAAAGCTTCTTTAGTCATTCTATCGTGCACTATCATGCCTTCGACCCGAAGTCTCTCTGTCCAGATTTCTGACTCTTTAATTTCAACGTCCTCTCATTCCTCAAGGAGCCTCACTCTTTCTTTACCCCATACCTTCTCAGAAACAGGGTGTTCCGGCATACGGGACTCGGCATACTCTATGCGTTTTTTGAGAGCTTCAACTTTACGACCTCTTTGGTATGCCATCAAGCGAGAAAAGACATTCAGTAAATTAGAAAATACCTGAGAGTCCGAATTCAGGTCACTTTGGCAGTAGCTGCACCTCCTATCTACCGTCTTCAGGCGGATAGAATGTCTGGTCATTATATCTGTATTGAGCGCAACTTTCAGTCCAGATGGAGCTATAATGACCGGTCATTTCATTCAAGTGCAGACGGTAGTTCTCCAAGGCCAACACTCTCCCATGTACTTTTCCCGCCAGTAGCTGTACCTCCCCTGCCTTTTATTTTTTTTTCCTTTCGTTTTGACCGTCTGGCAGGGCTACTGCTGCACCTCCCCTACCCTCTCTAGGTGGGATGACTTGACCCGACAGCAGTTGCAGGCACCATCCCTAAGCACAACATTGGAAATGTATCTGGACCTGGGAATAGTCCTGATGCTTTTTCAAATGTTGGATCATTCCGAATGCATCTGGTCCTGAAACTGTCCAGATCCTTGTAGAATGTTGAGCCGTGGATCGAGACCCGTAGATTCATAGGTGACCAGTAACAGACGTGAGTCAAATTGAGTCATTGTGAATTTTTTTTTTTTTTTTTTTCGGAAAAATACATTCAATTTCATTTCAGAAAAAAATTAAGTCGAGGCCGGGGACCTCACAATTCAACCCGGAGTTATCCTGGCAGCCTCAGCCAGTTTCGCTTACACCAGAGTATTCTTAACATAACTCTTCAAAGGTCCCAGCCTACCACCTGCAAATTTAATCCCTCATTCTTAACACCCTATCTCTCATCCATTCTACCTCTGTAAACACAGTTCCTATACTACCCTTCCTACAACTATATCATACACAGACCTACGACCGGTCTGAACTCGGCCTATTTCGACCGAGAGGAGCGCTTTCAAGCGTTCCCTTTAACCCCCTGACACTCTCCAACCCACCCGTACCCATTGCCATCTACTGTGATTGCCGACCGGAACCGAGTGTCCTGATTCATATCTAGCTGCCCTCCCATTATCTACATCTGTTAAGACTACAAACTTCCTTGCCGCCTGTGTCCTTATCCTCATGTCCCCAGCCAGTTTGATAGGACGAGTCGCCCCCCTGGAGATACTGTTGCAAAGCATGAGCCTTTCGCCCAAGTTTCCTGAAACCAGCTCTGCCCCCTCTCCCTTCCTTATCTCTTCTTGGTGCGCCGCCAGTCAGCTCTGATCTCGTTAGCTAACGTGTGTTTGAAGAGCTCGATGGCCTGTTTATCTGCCAAGCCTTCTCTGTCAAACCTTCTCGCATTTCTATCTTTCCAAATAATCCACAACATTACTGCTCTTGAGACCTGAGCCATGTAACCCCAACCATCTTTACCTGTGCAACCTTCTGGCAGTGCCCCTGTTAGTACCCACCTCTCGTCACAGAACTTGTTTCTACCTGTGATCTCTTTCCAGTTAAAGAGCCACCACTTCCACCATTTCTGTGACCTAGGACAGTCCCACCATAGGTGCCATACTCCATATGGCCAGTCACACCTTACACACTTCTCGTCAATTCTGTCCATACCCCTGTTTCTTAACCAAACTGCTGTGGGGACGACCAGGTGGGATTGAAGCCACAGAAGGGAAGCGAGTTTCTGTGATGGGATTCTCTTGAGCTGGTCCCAAAGCTTATGAAGCTCCTCCTTCTTTGGTGGTGGGACATTCTGAACTGTCCTTTGCCACCTGAGTGTCAGTTTCTCTTCTATGGGCAGACTCATTTTCTTGGTACAGCAGGCGGTATTCTTTCCCAACTTCTCTATCCCAACTATAGTCTGACTAGCACTTTCCCAACCCCAAGCTTCCGGATCTATTCTAATCTTCAGATACTTCCTTCCCCCCCCTACAATCATGGGTGTCTGCTTTTTCCCCCTCTCCCATTCTCACTCTACACTCTGCCAAACCACTGAGTCCATACTTCTCTATTGTTCCAAAGGAGATAAGCTTCGTGGATTCCAGGTTTTCCCTCTCAAACACCTGCAAAACGCATTTACCCTCCCTTTCTTCATCCCATTCCTCGAGTTTGTAGAAACGTCAATTCTCCGGGTCTTCGGCACAGTACCAGGTCCCAGGCGGGCTTACTCCGCTTGGTCCCAGGAGTTGCTTCCATTCCTGGGGTACTGCTTCCTTGATATTCCACAGCCTCTCCTCCTGTTCCGGCAGCTGTCCTAGTTTTCCCTTCAGCTCATTTGCAGTTTTCCACTGATTAGTTTCTTCATCCCAGATATCATGTATTGTTGCAACACCCCTCTGTATCCACTTGTACCCGAAACGTCCCTGCCCTTTTTTTGCACTAAGGCTGATGCCTTCCAGAGGTCTGATCCTTGGATTATCGAATAAATGTTGTGCCAAGATCTGTTGTTTGGAGATTGGAGGGACTCTGAGATTCGGTCTCAGTACTCTCCATGCTTGGAGAATCTCTTTCCACAATCTTGATTTGATCCTTTTCCCCATGAATGCCTCCGTCGTGATTGCTATCCATACATCTTCACTCCTATCCAGTCCCCATTCCCTCTTCAGAATCCCCTCCGCCAGCAGAACCCAGTCCGCTTCTTGATCCGTTTCTATTGCTTTAAGGATCCATTGGCACAGCAGAATCCGGTTCTGCGTCTGTGGATCAATGAGGCCCAGTCCCCCTTCCTCTCTTGAAAGACAGAGAGTCTCCCATGCCACCTTCGCGATACACCCCTCCCCTGGTTTGGCATACGGTTTCCACAGAAAAACCCTCGCTACACGCTTGATCTCCTTCAAAGCCTCGGCGGGGATGTTCCTCACTTTAGCCACGAACCAGAGCAGGGCAAACGCTGATACATTGATGGCCAATGCCCTACCAATCAGAGATAGGTGTCTAGCTTCCCCCCACTCCGTGATTCTGCTCTTCACTCTCTCTTGTAGGATTAACCCTTGTGAGGAAGAGCAGTCATCCAGTGCAACCATTATCCCTAAGAAACGTTCCGCTTTGCCCGCTTCGACCCTGTTCGTTCCCCAGTTTACCTGCAGTTGCTGTGCCGCTGGGAGGAAAAAAACTGATTTTTCCCAGTTTACTGCCGCCTCTGAATACTCTGCATAGATAGCCAGGCATCTTTTTAGTGCTTCCAACGAGTCTCTCCTGTTCTCACAAACCGCGAACAGGTCATCCGCCAGTGCTTTGACGCGACACTCCTTATCAGGTGCTATTTTCAACCCTTTGATTGACGTGTTCATCCTAATGCTGTTGATCAGCACCTCCCTCTGGAGCACGAACAGCAGGGGAGCGATCGGGCACCCCTGTCTAAGAGACCTCGAGAGGGTGAATTCGTCAGAGCAGCGACCATTGACCATTACTGCTGCCGTCGAGTAGGAATATAAGATTTTGACCCACCTACAGAAGCAGTCTCCAAAACCCATCTGTCTCAACGTAGTCATTACGAAGGCCCAGTTAACTCTATCGCACGCCTTCTCGAGATCTAGTAGTAAGACTGCCATCTCCCTATCCCCTGCTTCCACCTCTTCTATTACTTGGATTGCGGTCAAAATGTTCTCAAAAATAGACCTCCCTCTCACGAATGCACCCTGTTCCTTCCCCACCATCTCTGGGAGGACAACTGCTAACCTACTAGCCAGTGACTTCGCCAGAATCTTATAACTGACGTTCAAAAGGGATATAGGTCGCCAGTTTTTTACCAACGACTTATCTCCCTTTTTGAACATCAAGGTTATAATACCTCTCGTCATTGTCGGTCCAAGCTTACCTCCTGCAGGGATTTCGTTATACATCTCTACTAGATCTTCCTCCAAGGTGGCCCAACATGCTGCATAAAACTCCACCGGGAGCCCATCATCCCCGGGCGCCTTACCTCTAGCCATCTCCTTTACCGTCTGCTGTAGTTCCTCCGATGTGATTGGTCTATCCAACCTCTGTCTGTGATGTGGCGATAGAGTTGTCCTCAGATCACTCCAAAGATCTGTGTGGATGGACATGTCTGTGTCTATTGTCTCATTGAGGCGCCTTGATGTCAGAATATCTTAAAAGTATGCCATCGCGTATTCGCTCATATCGCCAAGTGAGGTGGCACGTGGCATGTCTGGGAGTAGTGGGTGCACCAATTCAGACATTATAACCTGCTTCCTCTGGGAGAGAAGTCTCTTGAAGGACTCCTTGGTAATTCTGTCTGAAGTAATGATCCCTTTTACTTCCAAAATCTGCCTCCACCTCTTCTCATTTTCCGCTTGGTATTGTTCCCAGACTTTCACTCTCTCCGCCCTTTCTTCTGCCCAGACGGCCTCTGAGACCGGATGTCCGCACATATTTCTTTCCGCCTCCTCCACTCTCCTCAAGAGAGTTCTCTCTTCGCTATTTCTCTGCAATGCAGCAATCTCCGAGAACGTATCAAACTTCCGTGCAATTATTCGCAGGCTGGCGTCCACCCATTCTGCTGATGAGTCAAAGTATACCCGGCTGTTCTTCCAGGAAGCCCAGAAATCTTCCACCCACATTCTCCATCCCTCATTGTCCAGGTTCAGAGTATTCAGCCTAAACAGACCTGGGCCTCGTTCCAACTTCTGGCCCATTGCGATGTCTAGAACTACCAATTTGTGATCCGAAACTGGTCCTTTTTGTTCTGCCACTTTAATCGTCAGTTGGGATGCTACCTCCGAGACCAGGAAAAAATCCAACCTCCTCTTTGTGAAAGGTGCAGTAACCGGATTCCCGAACCAGGTGTAGCCTTCATTGTTTGCATTTCTTTCTCTATAAATATCCTTTAAGTTCCAGGCTTCCATCCACCTGATCAGGTATGTGCGGTCCCTCTTCAATGTGTCCTCCCTATCTGAGTCAATCCCTGGGGCAATAACTTGGTTCCAATCTCCAGCAATTACCAGCTTTTCTGACTTGGGGAGTACTAGCGGAAGTGTTTCAAAAAAAACTAGTCTCTCCTGCGGTTCATTGGGTGCATAGATGGATGCAAAAGTCCAGTCCTCCTCTCCTATCCCTATCTTTATCCAGCACCATCTACCCCATAGGTCCGAGTCAAAATCAATAAGCTGAGCGTCCATTCTGCTGTGAACTAAAATAGCAACCCCTCCCTTGCTTCCTCGTGCAGGTGACCATAGCTGTGGACCACTCCACCAGTCTTTCAGTTCTGTCAATTTCCGCTCCGAAAGTTTGGTCTCTTGGATAAACAGGATGTCCGCCTTCTTCGCATGCACCCATGACTTAATCCTAGACCCCTTACTCCTACCACCCTTATCACCCAAGCCCTGTACATTCCATGTAACCAGGCGGTGTTTACTCATCCTATACACCTGCCGGAGCTGACGCACTCACGTGGAGGTTCCCTCCCTCGTCGTCCGTTCTCAGAAGTCTGGTTTCCTCCCAGCTACCACGGAGGGCGTTGGCAAAGTAAAGCGAGGTCAAGTTTCTTGATCGCGGCAATAATCTGTCCAGGTCAGCCAGAAAATTTGGTGGAATCCCTGGATCTACTGCAATTCGAGAAAGAACCGCCACCTCGTTCATAGCAAAACAGCTAATCCGAACACATTCCAGTCCCACGTTATTCAGACCGTTCCAGCACTCCGGGGGGATCCTGGCGTCAATCAACGGTATTGCATACTTGAATCTTCTCCCTCCTGGCACATCTGTTATCAGCTTCGCCATCATTTCCTCTGGGAAGATTCGGAATTGGAAACGGTCATTGTAAATCCTCCTCGTGTGTGCTGCAATAATTTCCGGAGTTGCTAATCCTTGGGTTGATACTGCAGGAAGAGTCATTGAGCCGTCTCGAGCTTTTAGCCCGATAACAAATACTTCATGCCCCTTTACCCACGTTCTCGTCAACTTTGAACATCTTCACTCCATTTTCCATTACGAATTCCCCATGACAGAGATTTTCTGGGGTGATCCCGTCTTCGAAGCACTTCGCTATCAAAAGTTTAACTCTCATCTCTTCTGCCAATCCTACGTCTCTGTCTCGCGGAGGTGATCGTCCCGCCCTACTGTTACCTTCTGCTTGTTGCTGTTGATTTGCCGCCATCTTGTTGTCTTGTGCCAGGTCCACTCCTGAACTCCTTGACGACTTCTTCCTTCCCTTGATTGTTGCGTCTCTGCCCCTGTTGTTTGGGGCTTCTCACTCTTCCATCACCCTGAAGTGCTATCTCTTTCCTACCTCCCCAGCTTGTATTACTGGTGCTCCTGCCTACCCTTCACCTTCAATTTTGTGCGTCCATGTGCATTCAAAGGTGAGCGCCTGAGCTGGCGCGCACCCAACGAAATTCCTTAATTCTTAAAATTCTTCCTTCAACAGAACAATCTTCATAGCTCCTCTACATCGGGTCGATAGCAGAAATGGAGATCCGCCGTCGCGTCGGGCGGTTGCTCGGGAATTGCCGAGCCGGACCCACTTCCTTCCCCTCGCCGTATCGTGTTGGTACCACCAGAGGCTGTCTCTTATACACATCTAGATGTGTATAAGAGACAGCTTCCTTCCCCTCGCCGTATCGTGTTGGTACCACCAGAGGCTACCGAACCGGCCGCTACGCCGGTAACGCAAACATAGAGCGCTATTCCAGCGCCAACCGCCGCGTCCCCGTTTCCCCTCTCAAATATCCGTGAAAATGCCATGTGTCTGCAAAAAAAAAGAAGAAAAAAAAAAGAAAAAAAAAGGCCTTGTGCAGCACCTTCACAGCGGAGGATTGCGATGCCGCGGGTGCGTGTACAAAAGTTGGTCCTAAGAAAGACCCCACCCACTGTCAGCTACGGTACCCGTGGGGCCCAGCCAACGCGCGGCAAGGGGCTTGGCCCAAATGTCTCCTACGAAATCGCACTGGAGTCTAACAGCTTCACGCGGGCGCTCCATTCACCAGAAAACCTTAAACCACAAATACGTCTCCCAGCTAGAAAATCAAAGTCGCGGAGTGCATGCTGCCTCGATTCTTGGGAAGTACCCAGGGCCGATTTTGTGGCACATCCATCCAGGCAAAACGGGTCGCATGCCAGGCCGAGGCCCATTTTGCCTGGATGGATGCACCACGAAACGGCGCCCCGGTAT